CCTCAGTTTGTCACTGTCTATTAACTTTTCTATGGTACTAATCTTATAGGTTTTTTTCTTTTTTCTTTTTTCTTTTTTTTTTTTTCCTTCAGGAGTCCCCTGAGGAATGTGGCTGGCATGATCTTGTGGCAAAAGGATTTATCGAGTATATTGATACAGAAGAAGAGGAGACTACAATGATAGCGATGACAATAAATGTTAGCCCCGAATGCTTCTTAATCTAACTATGGTATCATATTTAATGAAAACACTTTAGCAGTTCATAGATCATTTTTATCTGACGTTCCCATTTAATAATTCAGGACCTTGCAAATTCAAGGAGAAATCTAGAGGACTTACAGCCTTACACACACTGTGAAATTCATCCATCGCTTATATTGGGGGTTTGCGCATCAATTATACCTTTTCCAGATCACAACCAGGTCAGTTTTCCATACAATTTAGCTATATCTACTACTGTTTTACCCAATGCTTTCCTGTTAGGGCTAATGTCAGACAATATAATGCAGTCCCCTCGTAATACTTACCAATCAGCCATGGGAAAGCAAGCAATGGGAATTTATGTTACAAATTACCAGTTTCGAATGGTATTTAACATCAGTGCTGCAATCTGATCTTCATTGTTCAGAACACTTTTTCTGCTTTTCTGACTGATATATTGTTGTGCAGGATACATTGGCTTATGTTCTTTACTATCCTCAGAAGCCTCTTGTCACTACCCGTGCAATGGAACATTTGCATTTTAGACAACTCCCAGCTGGCATTGTAAGGACTCTATTGTTGTTAGCATTTGTGGTTAGTTGACTTTAACTTACTTCTACACTGCTTGACCTTTTTGTGGTGGTTTTGTAAAGAACGCTATTGTTGCAATTTCCTGTTATTCTGGATACAACCAAGAAGATTCTGTCATCATGAACCAATCTTCAATTGACCGTGGCTTCTTCCGATCTCTCTTTTTCCGCTCATACAGGTATTGCTTATTGCACCTATTCTCATTCCATTCCATTCCTGATTGTGGTTTCTCAAAGTTCATTTTCATTTTATAGGGATGAAGAAAAGAAGATGGGAACACTTGTGAAAGAGGAATTTCGGAAACCTGATCGGGAGAATACCATGGTTTGTCTGTCTGCTATTCCAATCCCAAAATGGAAAATTTGTTGTTTATAAGATTAATAATGATGAAGGTGATAAATTTTGTAGGGAATGAGACATGGATGCTATGATAAATTGGATGATGATGGGTTTGCGCCTCCTGTAAGTGCAAAAACACCACAGTATATACTGTTAGAGGGGTGACTAAAATTTTTATCATGTTAGTTGTGAACTTGAAATTCTGACTGATCCCAGGGAACAAGAGTTTCTGGTGATGATGTGATTATTGGAAAGACCACTCCCATTTCTCAGGATGATGCTCAAGGACAACCTGCCAGATATACAAAACGCGACCATAGTACTAGTCTACGCCATAGTGAAACAGGAATCGTGGATCAGGTTCAGGATACATACATACACAATCTCTTCTCTTGTGATTATATTTTATCGATCGAGTTCAGATTTGTATTTTTCAATTTTCAATGAGTCTTCTTGTTGTGTTGTGTTGTAGGTTCTGATGACCACAAATGCAGATGGTTTGAGATTTGTGAAAATAAGGATGAGATCTGTGCGGATACCTCAAATTGGAGACAAATTCAGCAGCCGACATGGGCAGAAGGGAACGATTGGAATGACTTATACTCAAGATGACATGCCATGGACACTTGAAGGCGTCACTCCTGACATCATTGTCAACCCGCACGCTATTCCCTCTCGTATGACTATCGGTCAGCTTGTCGAGTGTGTCATGGGAAAAGTTGCAGCTCACATGGGAAAGGAAGGAGATGCCACCCCTTTTACTGATGTTACTGTAAGTACAAGTGTAGAACTACACTCACTCCAAAGAAAAGTTACCTGCAGATTCCTTAGATAGATTGGTTGCTTGAATGACAGACTCCTTCAACAAACACTAGGACAATGCTTGCTTTGCTTTGCTTTCAGGTGGATAACATCAGCAAAGCTCTTCACAAATGTGGGTATCAGATGCGTGGGTTCGAGAGAATGTACAATGGTCACACAGGGCGATTGATGAGCGCAATGATATTCCTGGGACCGACGTATTACCAGAGACTGAAGCACATGGTGGATGACAAGATCCATTCTCGTGGCCGGGGTCCTGTCCAGATTCTCACCAGGCAGCCCGCAGAAGGGAGGTCTCGGGATGGAGGGCTGCGCTTTGGGGAAATGGAGCGCGACTGCATGATAGCACATGGAGCAGCACACTTTCTGAAAGAGAGGTTGTTCGACCAGAGTGATGCTTACAGAGTTCATGTATGCAGACACTGCGGTATAATTGCACTCGCTAACCTCAAGAAAAACTCTTTCGAATGTAGAGGCTGCAGCAACAAAACAGATATCATTCAGGTAAAACACAACATCATACAAATCTCCTCCTCTTATCAACAACTTTCCATTTCTCAACTTTAAAAATTTCCATGCAGGTCTACATTCCATATGCATGCAAGCTTCTCATACAAGAACTCATGTCAATGGCAATTTCCCCAAGGATGCTTACAATGGATATAGAGACACTACATGAAAAGATGAAAAATGCCAGATAGAGATCAGAGACCCAAACAAAAATCTTCTTCATAACTCATGAGAGGACTTTGCAAAAGAGCAACAACTTAACTTTCTAAATAACATTGCATTATATTGTTTCCTGATCATGAAACTACTTCCACAATACATGAAAAAAGATGTAAAACACCAAAAAGTTCATACCCAGACATAGAAATACCAAAAGTAAGCATACTAACCAGCATGCTAAATACATACCAAAAGTTCAACTAACATAATCAGATTACTCATCACATTTAATTTGTTCCTTTTGCTGAGCTATAATAAGACCTTTAGCTTCCTGCACTAAAAGCTCAATCTGCTCAACCAAATGCAACAGTTTGTCCAAGTTTCGAGATAATGCACTGTCATCACCAACAGATTCACCGTGTTTCTCATCTTTCTTAGAAGCCAATTTAATAGCAGTTTCAACAGTCAATTCTTCAACGCCAGGTACAGAAAAGCCACCATTGCAAAAGCAATTCTCATTCTGCATATTTCCATCATTACCATTAAGCAATTCCATAACCACAGAGTCCACCTGCTGAGACAATTTAACAGCATCGTTAAGCTTCTTCAAAGGCATCACATCAAAGACATCTTCTTGATTTTCCTGAGACAGTAACATCACATTCAGTCCAACATCCTGAGAATTATCAGCTTTTTCCACAGACATGCAGCCTCCATTCAGTGAAGGTAAGGTTCCTTCTCTAGTAAAGGATTCAATGTCTTTATTATCCTTCTTAGAAGCCAATTGAGCATCTCCAACGACAATGCCATCACTCTCAACAGCTTCCTCCAACTCAGATACTACAACACCTTCATCGGACTTGGTGCTGTCAATTTCTTTGGGCACATTTCCATCTTCACCATCAACCAATCCCATAATATCAGACTGCAAACCATGTTCTTCAACTTCCTGATCCACCTGAACAACATCACAAAGCTTCTTTAAAGCTGGAGACTCTGTTGAAGGCGCCACATCAATGACATGTTCTTGCTGAACCAGATGAACAGCAACATTTGACACCTCTGCAGCAATATCAGTTTCCATTGATCCAATTTCATTCTTAACAGCCACCTCAGACTGCAAACCATGTTCTTCAACTTGCCGATCCACTTGAACAAAATTATAAAGCTTCTTCAAAGCTGGAGACTCTGTTGAAGGCACCACATCAATGACATGTTCTTGCCGAACCAGATGAACAGCAACATTTGATCCAATTTCATTCTCAACAGCCACCTCAGAGAGACAAGTTCCACAGACAACAACATCGGACACCACCTCAGGTACTGTCATATCTCCACCAATATTACCCTTAGGTTCCAGAAGCGTATTGGAGACATGTTCTTCAACTTGCTGAGACAGTTGAACTGCATCATTTGACACCTCTGCAGCAACATCTGTTTCCATCGATCCAACGCAGCAGCTCTCAGTGGCTCCTAAACATCAAAACATAAATACTGATGATCTATCTGAGCAGTAAACAATAAATTAAACCAGAGAAAGCTAGTAAACAAAATAACGCACCGGCTGTGCTCAAAACAAGTTCCGCTTCTGCATGCTTTCTCCTAGAAGCTCTCCTTTTCTTTGGACCTGAAGGCATTTTCTGCTATGCTTTCTTGTTAGAATGCAACGTCTGATGGAGTGGTTTCTTGTTAGAATAGATTATTGCCTGAAGTGATTTGATCGAATGTATATATGCATGCTTTATATAGAAGAGGAAATTAATTAATTAAATTATTATGGGGGTGATCTGATGAGTCCCGAGTTGAGGATGATCAATTGCACTTCCTTCCTTCCGCGTTCCCCATGAAAATGGAGAACTGGAAAGGTTCCGCTCATTCCATCATTAATGCATGCTGCGCTGCCTAAAATTATTAATCTTAATTAACATTAAATTACAATTTGTCACTCATTTTTTCCTAATCAAGATCATATCTAACAAGATTGAGACAAATTAATTAATTAATACATCAAATCAAATAATCATTTAAATTACAAATAATAACAATGCAAATGCCACACTAACATACCCTAATATTTACATGCATTAATCCTGTCATAGTCTAATGGATCACCGAGTCACCGTAATTTACCTATATATAATCAATCTTGTTTGGCCGTGGTATGTCTCCTAATGGGTAAGAGAATTTCGCTTTTTGTAAACAAGTATTTTGCAAATGGTCTAATTTTACTTATGTTTTTTGCAAGTTTTGTTGAGCATTTGAAACTTATTTAAGTTGGACTCAACTTTTCAACAAGGCAGGAACCAAGAAAGCTTACGTTTCAATAGAAAGTTGATAGCATTATATTGCTTCATGCACATAAACAGAACTACCATACCAAAACTAAACCTTACTAGCCAGGGGGCTTTAATTTAATACATACCAAAATATTTTAAGCAAGCAGCATAGTACTACGTAGCAACTAGTAAGCCAGCTAGAAGGTTGTTTACATTTATTGTTGGTGCTTAGTTACAAGACCTTTCACCTCCTGCACTAAACACTCAATCTGCTCCAACATTTCCACCACCTTGTAAACTTCAACTTCATCTCCAACACCACCACCATATGCCTCAATCGCATTATTATTATTCAGTTCTAAAGGGTATTCAGATGGGTTCACAAACACGCCGCCACTTGATTCAATATCGTCTGTCTCATCTTCCTTATTAGGAACCAAATGGAGAACAGCATTGCCAGTATCACAGACAAGAACCTCGGACAGGTCGCCAAGTGTTTTGCTGGGTAAGTGGCAATGGTAATCCTGCAAATAAGAAGGCTGTTGCCGAGCTCTCCCTGTTCTCCTGATAACTGGGACTTGTTCAGGAGTTTCATTTTCATTAGGCTTCTTTTCATCTTTAACAATGCAGCAGCTGCCACTCACTCCTACAAATCAAAAAATAAACAAGAGAACATATATATATAGTGGTAGTGAAGAAAACAATATAATTAACCTTGTTTTGGGTAATTAAGCTGCACTAACTGATAATATATACCATCTGTGCTGGGAATAAGTTGGGCTTCTGCTTGCTTTTTCCTAGCCGCTCTCTTCTTTGGACCTGAAGGCATTTTCAATTCTTATGATTTTCTGATATGTAAGTTGCAAGAATGAAACCCTGAAGGCTATAAATTGAGGAAGTCACATAAGCCTATTTATAGTGAATGACAAAACTAATTATAGCTAAAATCAAATAAAACTAACCACTAATGACTATAACCCCATTATCAAATACCACTACCCCACTAAACAATTAATCCCACTAATTAAAATAACTAACTCACTAAACTTGATTTAATATAATAATAATAATAATAATAATAATAATAATAATATATGATGGGATTATATAGCCCAATGAACAGGGCCCAAGCCTAAAACTTACGCAAATTATGTCGTGCAACCGTATGCACCATGTATGGTGCACACGGTTGTAAAACGGCGTCGTTTTAATTTAAAATTACGCGTTCAACTAAAAAGAAAAAAAAATAGATGCCGTTAATGGTGTTATGCCATGCATAATTTGAATTATATATCCAGAATTAATGAACTATATATCCAGAATTAGTGAACTATATATCCATAATGAATGAACTATATTTTCATAATGAATTAACTATATATTCAGAATGAATGAACTATATATTTAGAACCGATAAGGTCAATTATGAATGTGTATTATTAATTTTTGAATGTACTATTGTCAAATTATGAATATATAATTATGAATATATAGTTATGTAATTCTGGATATATAGTTATGAAGTTATGAATATATCTTACTGTTTGAATACGAAAGGAAACCGCCTAACACTGTTAACGGCAATCCGAACGAATTTTTTCTTTTAATGAAACGACGTCGTTTTGCAACAGTGTACACCATGCATAGGGGTGGGCGTCGGTTCGGTTCGGGTGATACCCGAATTTTATTGCGGATATCCGAAAATTTCGGGTGATCTTTGACACCCGATATCCAAATCAAATTTAATTCGGATATGTTCGATTTGGGTGAAATTATTTCAGCTTTATTTCGAATTAGTTTGGATATACCCAAAATATTATTTTATCAATTTTGAATTTTTTTAATGATTTTATTATTTTATTATTTATATTTTTTCATATAATATCAAACTAAAAATAAGACAAATACTAATAATTAACCAATAGAATTTTAAAAATTAATATATTATTAATTATGAAATACATTTAAAACTTAATATATATTATATTATTATATTTATAATAAAAAATCGGTTAGTTCAGGTTTCGAATCGGGTGTGGATAGAATTTTTAACACCCGATATACAAACCGAATTTATATTCGAATATACAGAAATTTAAAATATCCAAACCGATAACTATTTGGGTTCACCCAAAATTTAAAATTCTATTCAAATTTCAGATATTAGTTCGGATAATACGAATTACGCCCACCCCTAAATCCATGCACAGCATAACCATTGTAAAACTTATTGGAGAAGATTTGAGGCAATAGGTAGGCAAGTATCTTATCTAACAAGCTAAGATTGATAGTTTCAAAAAAAAAAAAAAAAAGATTGACAAATGGAAATGGGCACTCTGAGTCTCTGACATTATTATCTCCGTAAAACAAGAATGGTGACTGACGTCTGACTGAACAAGTAGGCTACGAGGCTGTCATAGTCTCACATTATTTGTATTCCAAGTCGCAACTTGCAAGTTGCAAGAGCAATGTTAAGTTTTCAAAAAGCAAAATACTATATACACAAACAAAATCTTGATATAAACATTTATATTGAAACCCACATTAAAAAATAAAGCTTATCAGTGTCCGTCAAAAATTATAGAATAACATTTAAAAAGTAAAATTTGAGAATTCATGTAGTATAACTTTTTAAAAATACTTCATGTACTCTCACTTCTTACTCTCTATTTTACTATTTCCTTTCATTTTTAAATTTTCAATAATTTTGCAGCTTATATATATATATTATATCATATTATTATATCATCCATGCATATATGCTTTTGGTTCTACGCCTTTTTGACCAAAAACTCAAAAAAGAATTGAAGTTATTTCCTTCATACATGGGCTCTGTTTGGCAAACCTAGCTGAAAAGCTATAAGCTAGAAGCTGAAAGCTGAAAATGAGCTGAAAACTGAAAAGCTATAAGCTCGGAGCTGAAAACTTAAGAGCTGTTAAGCTAGCTGTTATGATTGAAAGTGTTTGATAAAATTAGCTTTTTGACAAGCTGATAAATGTAAAAAGACTAAAAAGGACATCTTCATAAAATTTAAGTTAGTTTGTTTACATATTAAAATTTAACATTTTGTCTTTAAAAAAAATTAACGTTTTGAAATAAAACTATTAGCATAATCATGATCTAGTATCTCATAATGAAGTAGCAACATTGTTGCGAATCATCAGGTACGAAACCTAAAAATAAAAAATAAAAATTATTCCGCGCGTATTTTATTTTCTCCGTTTGTTTGATTTTTTTGATGAATAATTTCTTCCGGTTTGCAATTATATAGGATGATAGCTCCGGGAAGCACTCCGCGAAGTCGCCGTTCTCGAGGAAGTCATCGGCGGCGACGGCGGCGCCATCATCTTCCGAGAAATTCGCACCAAAGTTTGATGGATTGAGGTTCATAGAGACGCTGGTAACCGCTCACCGATGATTAAAGCCGTACGTAATTCAGTTGAGAGCAAACTAGTTTTGAATAGAAGATTGATAACATCCACATCTTCTTTTTTTTTTTTTGTTTGTTTATTGTTGGTTTTTTTTTTTTTTAATTGCGTCAGCTGAAACTGTGCCTCCATATATTCAGATCAGAGGCATGTTCTCTTAATTTTAGCGTGTAGTAGTCAATTTCCAGTATGTAACTCCATATACTGGGCGTGATATTGTTTCTTTGTATTCATCTTTGATCATTCCAGATTAGTAACATTTTTCGTATAGTATAATAAGCATTTTTCTTGTGGGAAAATTTGTTTATAATCATATAAAATTTATATTTATGATGAGTCCTCAGCTCTCTGCTATGGCACCCGTGTCGTTGATGTTGACACCACTTTTTAATTTTTTTTATTTAGATAAAAAAAATTAAAAAAAGATTAAAAGAATATTAGCCTATGCCACTGTGTTAGGGTGCAGTGGGCTAAACCTTTTTGACCATCGCCTCATTCGCCAAAATCCTTACTACGGCATAGGGTTGACCAAACACACACACACACACACACACACACATATATATATATATATATATATATATATATATATATATATATATATATATATAAAATTAAGTTACCGTGCGGTTGCCTATGTGTAGGGGTGTAAACAAATCAAAAAAAAAAATTGTAATATGTCAATTATCAATGTCACCTTTGAATTATGAGTGGTGTAAATGTTGCCCATTAATTATTAAAACTGTGCACATATAACTCCTCCACATGTGGTTCGCCGTTAGTGTACGACACCGTTAAGTTGGAATTCCCTCCCTCGATTCGAAGACAGCGGTAGGGAACTATAGGTCCGTTACGGGAGGAGCTATATGTGCACCTTGAGGGGCAACATTTATACTACTCAGGGACATATTATAGAGGGGCATTTTTTACAATTTTTCCTAAAAAAATTTATATTCTAATTCGAATTCGAATATGTTGATTTGAATTCGAATATTTCGAATACGAATTCGATTCGAATACTTTTTTTCGATTCGAATATTTTCCGAATACGATTACAAATTATAGTGTATTCGATTCAAATAGTATTCAAATATTTTATGCTATTTAAATATAAATTTTTATTACATTTTATCTTAATTAATCAGAGAATTTTGTAAAAAATTAAGTTAGGCATTTTGAATTCGAATATTCGAGTCGAATCGGATATTAATCAAATTTGAGATTCGAATATTCGAGTCGAATCGAATATATTCGAATAAACTGGTCGAATCGAATATGAATCAAATTTGAGATTCGAATATTAAACGAATACGAATATTTGAATATATAGTCGAATTCGAATCGAATAGTGAGATATTTGACTCGATTCGATTTGTTTACACTCCTACTTCCGTGCGAGCAATGTGCATGAGTTTTGTATTTAAGGTACGCGAATTTTGTGCTTAAGGTACGTGACTATGTACTTAATGTGAGTAGTTGTTGAAACTTATATACAATGGTCCATTACGAACTATAAACCCACTGCGGTAGAACATCTGCCTCTCTCCTCCCTCCCATGAGACAACACCACCAAATGCAAGGATGAAAAATAGCAGAAACTTTGATCTGGAAACTGACGATAATTAAATCGGAAAAGAATGAATGGTATCAATTAGAGGGAAGAGCCAGGTGAACAAAAAACCTAAAAGAATTAAATTAATGATGCAACACATTTTAGTACAAATTTAGACAGAGTATGTGTTTAAGGTGTGTGAGTTTTATACTTAAGGTGCGTGTGCGTGAGTCTTGTGTTTAAGGTGCGTGTGCGTGAGTTTTGTACTTAATGTGTGTAGTTGTTGAAACTTAAGGTGCGTGTGTTTTGTGTTTAAGGTGCGTGAATTTTGTGCTTAAGGTGCATGAGTTTTGTACTTGTGCGTGAGTTTGTATTCTTAAGGTGTTTTGTTTATGTATATAATGTGCATGTGTTGTGTACTTAAAATAGTCAGTTTAATGCTTAATATGTAGTAGAACTCTTAAACTATTACTCGTGGCTACAAGTGCTTGGATGAATAAAAGTACCTTTGAAAGTTGAAAGTTGAAATTTCCAATAACTGGAGAACAAATTAAAAAGCTGACCCAGAATATGCATCAAACAAAACTAAAAAAAGAGTCAACACAACCAATTTAAGTTGATAAGACGGTTTGTTTAATAATCACAAAGTTACAAATTCAACTTTTAGTTAGAGTTATTTATTGATTTTCTTATTTTGAGCTGATTAGATATATATGAACAATCCTAAATTAGTTTACATTTTTATGATTGTTACTCTAAAAAGAAATTGGAGAGACTCATTGTATGTCTTTCTTAGTTCGAGTCGATTAGTTATTGACAATTTAAATTAATTTATTTTCTTGTGATCCGATTAGGGTCACAACCCTTGCACGCCCTCGGGACAGTAGTTGTGGTTTCCTTGTAACAAAAAAAAAAAAAAAAAAAAAAAAAAAAAAAAAAAAAAAAAAACTAAAAAGAAATTATTGGAGAGGCTTTTGTTACGTGCAAGCCAGTATTCATCTTATTTGATTTTAATTTCTCTGATCTTATACGTACACATGTAGTATTTGATAAATGTTTTATATTGATATGGAATGCAAAGAGGTGTTAAATGGCTTAATTACACAATTAATGTATGTAACCTTAGCTTAAAGCACGCATTCACACAAGAAGAATGAAATGAATTAATCCATTTAAAGTTTCAATTTTGGAGTAACAACAGCCACCCCAGAAAAAGAGGTACGAGGAAGGCGGGGCGGCAGGGTTGAAGGGCTTCTCCGGTAGCATTAACAGGTTTGTCAACCACCGATTGTTGCGCAACATCTATATCTTTACAGTCGAGGCCGTGCTTGCCTTCCTTGCAGAGGTTGCTGAAAAGACCAGGAGGATACTTGCCGTAGAGATGGAGATAGTTGAACATGATGACGGGGCAGTTGTTGGTATCGGTGTTAAGTACATCCCTGTATTGGCAGCTTAATTCCTTAAAGGCTCTGCAGCATACCTTGGCCGTGTAATGTGGTCCTTTGCATTGGCTCGTAACTATTGTATAGTTCATGTTCTCCATGTCCAATGGACAATCTGCACAAACACTACATTATTCGTTTAATTTCACTACTGACCACTTGAAAGTGATCTTAAATCAAGTTGAAAGCACAAAGTGGTCGAAAATAGCAACAAGGGTTTTTCCGGATACCAAAAGTGGTCGGAACAAGACTTGATTTAAGATCACTTTCAGAATTTTCCCGGGAAAAAAAAAAAGCTACTATACTTACCACGTTTCTGCTGAAGAAGGGAACGCCCTGTTCGTCCTGGATTCTGTAGCACCTCATCTGTGCATAAAAAAACGTAACCAAAAAAAAAAAAGTTTCAAATTTGCATGGATTGGATTGTTGAACATGATAGATATGCAGAAACGTAAAGCAAATGAAATGTTACATTTAATGTATGTGGGGGTGGCGAAGCCAAGAAGAAGGGAGAAGAGAAGCAAAAGGAAGCATATTCTCAACCCCATTCTCTTCTCTTTTTATTACTCTTTTATCTCTTTTATCCCGGAAATGAAATGATTTCTTGGGTTGCCTTTTCTCATTCAAACAATGGCAACCGCCCTCCTCTGAACCCTCTCTCTGCTTTTGTTGGAGAGAGACAGGGGAGGTTTCAAACTACCATCAACATATGAGAAAGACACGGAGAAAGACATGGTTGGGAAAAATTAATCCCCCGGCCCCCCATAATTATATTTACATACCAAACTCATTTTGGCATTATATAAATGGAAAAATTACACTTTTTTCGTCCTCAGGTATATACTTGTAATATTTTTCTTTCTAAGTTATTCATATATTCACATTTGACCTTTAAATTATATTAAAAGTGACGGTTTTTTTCCCTTGTATGTTAGATGAGTATTTTTACCCTTAAAAATAAGTATATCATTTATTTTTCTTCTCCAACCAATTATTGCTTATATGTATGGATGACCATGGTTCGGTTCGAACCTAACCACACATTGTAGCAACCGAACCAAAACAGTAGGAACAATTCTAGTAACGATTCAAAATTGGAAAAAAATAAAATAAAATAATAATTGTTGAATTTAGACTAGCTCAATTTCTTTACCCGGCCCGTATTTAAAAATGAGCCGAGTCATGTACAACTCAATTTATATCAATTCGTGACGGACTGACATGCATGTTTTGATAGCTCTAATTTTACAATTATGATTTAAATTTTATGATTTTTTTTTTTTAACTTAGATACTATTCTTTTCTAAAAAATTATTTCAATACAAGTATGATTATACTATTGAGTAATAATATTAAACATTTATTTTCATGCACGGTGTAGAAAAGACTAGTAGTTAACATAAAATTGCTGAGATCAAGGGTTGAGATTAAACCACATCTTTTACCTGAAGCCTATTACCGCATTTGATATGTTATATATATATATATATATATATATATATATATATATATATATATATATATATATAAAATCTGTATTTGATTTTTTTATGATGTGGGTGAGAATTTTTTATCCTATAGTTTTATAAAAATATTAGTTATAATCCGTGCTTGGCATTATTAAATTAATATCCAACGCAAAAATTAAACTAAACAAATATTTAGTTTAACTTGTAATAAAAGTAGTTGTAAAGATGATCGAGTATTGCTTCAAATAGTTATTATCAAGAAAATAAAAATGATGTCCTGACACTTTTTATACTAAAATAAATTAAAATTTTTAATACTATATTGATTAGTTGGTAAAACTTAACTTATTTTTTGTTAAAAGTGACATGATTATAATATGCTTACTGGTGTTGTTTAATAATAATTTAAGAGATGTAATTAGGTTATAGCATATGAATTTATAAGTTTTTTTGTGTGTATATGATTGAAACCTCAATCATTGTTATATGTGAACTATTCATCTTGTAAATTTCTATTGATATTTTAAATTATTATTATTATTATTATTATTATTATTATTATTATTATTATTATTATTAGTTTCCCTATATGGTTGACTAGATAATGAATTTTTTGTATTTAAATTCTTAAAATATAGAGAAATTGTCACGTATATATAGTAGACTGATTTGTAATAAAATGTACATTTTAATTAAAACAATATAGATTTGAAATAGAAAATTAAAAGTTCTGCTACAATAAATAAGGTCTCATTTCAGTAAAGTGAAGACAATATATTCTACAATAATTATAATATGACATTCATATTGTTTTAGGGTGGAGATTCAAAAAATATATAATAGATTTCACTTAAAAAATATATATATAGTTGAAAGAAACAATCAAATTAAGTAAATTTTATTAACCAAAACTATGTGGTTTAATGGTATCCGGGTTGGATTTCTATTTGGAAGGTTGTGAGTTCGAAATTTTTTTAAAAAATACACAAGTTTCATTTGGTGTACCCTAATTTAATTGTTATAATAATAATATAAAAAAAAGAAATGCACATTGTTGTTGTTGTTATTAGAGAAAAAGAGTCAAATAGGCCCTTGAATATTACTCAAAAGTGTAATTAGACCCTGAATTTTAAAAACATGTGATTAAATACTCGAATTTGTCAAAATAAGTTAAATAAGTCAAGTTTACTAGTTAACAAACCGCAATTAAATTACAAGTGGCTTTCGCTTTCTCCACTAGAGAGAAGGCGGCGGTCGGCGACTAGATTTGATCATCTTCTCTTGAGAAAGTGACAGAAGACAATCGATCTGGTTGTCTTGTATAAGGCGACCAATCTGGTCGCTTTATCCAGTGAAGAAGACGATTGGCCACAGTTGCCGAAATTTTCTAGTTGTCGGAATTGTCACCGGAACTGGGGTTAGATGCATCAAAATGACGAGTTTGAGTGTTTAATTGCATTTTTTAAAAGTTCATTAACCTAATTACAGTTCGAGTAAAGTTCAAGGGTCAATTTGATCTTTTTTTTCCCCTTATTATTTTGAAATACTCATGATTTTTTATAAGGTAAATATATGTTCTATGTTGTTGTTGTTATTATTATTATTATTATTATTATTATTATTATTAAAAAGTTACAAAATATTTTGTAATGGGTGAGTGCAAAGAAAATATGTGACATTAAAAAAAAATTGAGTATTACATTTTTTTTTTCTTAAAAACTTGATTATTAATTTATATAGTTCCAACAATAAAGTTATGGATATGACTTTATGATTTTATATATCTAGACTAGACTTATTGATATGACTTACTAAGTTACTATACTGTGAACAAGTATCATCCATTAATATTATCTTAATTCTATTTAAAAAAAAAAAAAACAAAACTGTAATCTTAATTCTTGAATAACATATATTTTATTCATTATGAGCATGCAATCCAAATCTTGGGCAGACATCTATACATTCCCAATTTTGTATAGGCCTCTAGGAACGGAATAACCTAACGCTTCCCCTGAAGAGTATTCAACGCCTGCTTTTTCCGGGCCTTACTTTCTTATATATGTATTAATATCCAAGGCAGTCAAGGCCTTGCTTGCCTTCCTTACAGAGGCCTTCGAAAAGGCCAGAAGGATAGCCATGGTTATGAAGATGGTTCCACATTTGGACGGCGCAGGTGTTCTTATCTACTGCATTAAGATCATCTCTGTATTTGCAAGTTAATTCCTTAAATGGTGGGCAGCATAGCTTGACGGTGTATTCGGGTTCTCCTTTACACTGGCTCGTAACTATTGTGTAGTTCATCTTCGACACGTCAAATGGACAATCTGTATTATCTGTAGGCCGAAAATGATCAAAATTATCCTTGCAGAAATAGTAATGGATTGATTGATTTGCATTTTACATTTTTTTTTTTGGGTTTGAAACGAATTGAAAGCTACTTACTAGGAGCGCGAGATAGAAGGGAACGCCCTTTCTCCACCCTATCATCTGTACATTCATGCATAAAAAATAGAGAAAAATGTTTCAAAGGCCGGTTGTTAAACATAAATGCAAATTAATGAATAAGAGAGATATTACATACAATCCATGAATGAGGGAGTGGCAATGCCAAGAAGAAGGAAGAAGAGAAGCAAAATGAAACATATTCTCAACCCCATTTCCTTCCTTCTTTATTACTCTTTTCTTTCTTTTATCCCAAAAATGAAATGCTTTCTTGGGTGGCCCTTTCTCATTCCAAAATGGCAAGGCCCCTCTTATTTATTCAATCTCAAATTAATAGGGTAGACTCCATAAAGATATGAGGAAGACAAGGAGAAATTGTAGCTGAGAAAAATTAAGCAATTTCAACCTCCTAATTATATTTATATACCAAAATTATTTTTGACATTTTTCTGACCCATATATTTTTTACATCCATTGGAGGGCTACCCTAAAATTAGCTTAAAGCTTAAAGTTTATTTGACCCATATATTTAAATGTATCTAGAAGCACTATGACCAATTACTTTTTCTGACCAGGTTTAAATGGAGCGTGATATGTTTAAAATGATTTTGGTGTATGCAAAACTCATCCTGGGCATCGAAGATGACAATAAAAATGCCTCTCCGAATCATGATATGCTCTTCAGCTTGTTCGGTAGGCGGCCCTTTGATAAACCGATCAAAGTCACTGGTTTAAGACTGAGTGTTTATTTTCAGATGGGTTCATTGTCAATGAATAGAAGAATGAAAATGAAGACCCAGGTGGTGTGCAAGACTCCCAACTAGTCTTGTCATTGTTTGGCCAGATCATTAATGATTCTATCGAAGCTTTAATTTATGTTCCTTCAATGATCATAACTTCCAATTTGTAAAACATTCTGCGAATCAAGTTTTTTATAGCTTAGCTAGGAAATTTGCTTCTATGTCTGATTGTACCTCTCTATCAAGCTTTGATGTAATCGTTCCTATTTATAATTAATGAATTTCCTTATTTCAAAAAAAAAATGACCAATTACTTGTGTAATGGTAAAAATAATATTTTATAGAATTTATACAGCTACAAATTACAGTACTAGTTTTGTTGCTGTTATTTTTATTTTTTTTTAAATTTAAAATCAATTTTTCATTCATGTTTTCTATTCAATGGTATTTATACACATCCTACCCCTCAATGGACGGTGGATATATACTTGAACCTACGGTTATGGTTCTACCTCTAAAATCTTGAGTTCTACAATATTCTAGAAGATTCTATGAATCTCTACATTACATGGTTCTGGAAAATTCTACAAACTTGGAGAAACAATGTACAACTGTAGAAAACCTCTAGAACGATATAGCTAACATTGAAAATGCGTAGGAAAGAGACTCGAACGCTACAATATACTAACTTAATATTATATTTTAAAACTGGTCATAGAGGTGAAACTTTGGAATAATGACCAGGGATCGAGTCTCACCAGCGGCAGTGTGGGAGCAACCTCTCAAAGTGAGGGGGGCTCCTTGTGCACACTGAGCACCGGTCTAGCCTCTATGGTTCATGTTTAGTTGAGTCACCATGATTTACATCCTCCCAAAATGCTCTGTCGGGCCGGGGTGTGGGGGACCCTTAAGGTTGGGGTTCAGCCTTTTTGAAATAATATTATATTTTAAAACAACAAAAATAATATAAATATTAATATATTTATTGATAAATGTATTTACATTTGTCAATGACACATTTTAATACTTTGAAAATGTCATATAATTTCTTTTTATAAACAATTTCAAGTACATTTCTTTTAATAAATGTTTATACATTTATTAAATTAGAAATCATGCCTGCAATTACACAAT